CAGTGAGCAGACAATATTTTATAATTTATTATCACCATTAAACTTCCCTTCACACATTTTTGTGGGGTTTCATATTTTAATCTTACTATAATTAAACAGTAGATTTAATTATTAATGTGTTAAATTGCACTACTACGGGTTAGTTATAAACTATATTGCCTCGGCTGTTTTGTAGTGTGCGAGCTGATCCTCCAGCACAGGTCTGGGTCCGCCACCTGTGGTCCGTGCTGGACCTGTATTAATGGCGACCGTGGGTGATGGGGCGGTACAGCTCAACTTGTGGGGTGCTCACAATACACCCGGGGAGGCGGTACAACGTAACCTCTAGCAAGAGCAGATATACTTCAATTGTAGCACATAAATGTAAATTAATTCGAGACTCTAACCCTTGTGAGTGGTGTTGCCATGCGCCCTAACGAATTATCTAAGACATTGAATCATTGGCCAACTAATCTGAGCTAAATAAACAGAAACTGACATTTTCCTTATTCTGCAAGTTGCGGCAACAAATAGGGACCATGTTTCTTTGTTGTGAGTCTCGCTGCGTTTTATAACTTGCTGGAAGAGTAAATGATCGATGTGGAGGCTCAATATATAAGCCATAATGCCATACGATATGTTAACTCTCCCTCTCGTGCCTCTATGGCTACCTCTCACTCCCTCCCACCTCGAGCCTCACCTTCAGGAGCCAAATTTATTGAGAAGGGTAACGAGGGGTTTTGTGTAATCGCAAATCGTTATTGGTGTATAATTAATTGGGATAGTTAATTTTATTGGGTTACCAGCTCTGAGACTAGTGAATTTTAAATTAAATTAGCCAGAAACGTTTGCAAACGATGTGTAATTGAACCAGGGCATATTAACCCCATTCTCTGTAATCTTTTTTATGACTAACTAATATATTTATTACCGACTTGAACTAATGGAAATTATTAACATTTTATAGCTGTTACATTAGAGTTTTATAGCTCCTGTGGGACTTTCCCACATGCCCGCCTGGGTAAGGGAACCAGTGTAGTGAGAGTGTGGGACAACACCTTGTCCTCTAACCCTCAGCCGCAGGGGGGAAATGGAGCCATGGTTAGTTTAGTCATTTATTATACACCCCATACCCATTTTGTGGGCGGTGGTGAAAAGGGTAACTAAGGCAGATAAAATTCAGTTGCTGAGGTTCAGCAACTGAACCTCACAGTTCATTTATCTAAGCCAGTAACAATCTTGAGAAGCTAGTTAGTCAATTTAAGTTATAATTTACACTAATACATGTACACGTATCCATAGTGTTTTTATATCACACGTGATTTAAGAATTGGTCCACAGCACTTTCCACACAGCCACAGCAGACCCTGATACTCCACACAGCCACAGCAGCACCCTGATACTCCACACAGCCACAGCAGCCCCCGATACTCCACACAGCCACAGCAGCCCCCGATACTCCACACAGCCACAGCAGCCCTCGATACTCCACACAGCCACAGCAGCCCTCGATACTCCACACAGCCACAGCAGCACCCTGATACTCCACACAGCCACAGCAGCACCCTGATACTCCACACAGCCACAGCAGCCCCCGATACTCCACACAGCCACAGCAGCCCCCGATACTCCACACAGCCACAGCAGCCCTCGATACTCCACACAGCCACAGCAGCCCTCGATACTCCACACAGCCACAGCAGCCCCTGATACTCCACACAGCCACAGCAGCACCCTGATACTCCACACAGCCACAGCAGCCCCCGATACTCCACACAACCACAGCAGCCCCCGATACTCCACACAGCCACAGCAGCCCCCGATACTCCACACAGCCACAGCAGCCCCTGATACTCCACACAGCCACAGCAGCCCCCGATACTCCACACAGCCACAGCAGCACCCTGATACTCCACACAGCCACAGCAGCCCCCGATACTCCACACAGCCACAGCAGCACCCTGATACTCCACACAGCCACAGCAGCCCCCTGATACTTCACACAGCCCCAGCAGCCCCTGATACTCCACACAGCAGCACCCTGATACTCCACACAGCCACAGCAGCCACAGCAGCCCCTGATACTCCACACAGCCACAGCAGCCCCTGATACTCCACAGCAGCCACAGCAGCCCCTGATACTCCACACAGCCACAGCAGCCCCTGATACTCCACACAGCCACAGCAGCCCCCGATACTCCACACAGCCACAGCAGCCCCTGATACTCCACACAGCCACAGCAGCCCCCGATACTCCACACAGCCACAGCAGCCCCTGATACTCCACACAGCCCCAGCAGCCCCCGATACTCCACACAGCCACAGCAGCACCCTGATACTCCACACAGCCACAGCAGCCCCCTGATACTTCACACAGCCCCAGCAGCCCCTGATACTCCACACAGCAGCACCCTGATACTCCACACAGCCACAGCAGCCCCCGATACTCCACACAGCCACAGCAGCACCCTGATACTCCACACAGCCACAGCAGCCCCTGATACTCCACACAGCCACAGCAGCCCCCTGATACTTCACTCAGCCACAACAGCCCCTGATACTCCACACAGCCACAGCAGCCCCCTGATACTCCACACACAGCCACAGCAGCCCCTGATACTCCACACAGCCACAGCAGCCCCCTGATACTCCACACACAGCCACAGCAGCCCCTGATACTCCACACAGCCACAGCAGCCCCCTGATACTCCACACAGCCACAGCAGCACCCTGATACTCCACACAGCCACAGCAGCCCCCGATACTCCACACAGCCCCAGCAGCCCCTGATACTCCACACAACCACAGCAGCCCCCGATACTCCACACAACCACAGCAGCCCCCTGATACTCCACACACAGCCACAGCAGCACCCTGATACTCCACACAGCCACAGCAGCCCCCGATACTCCACACAGCCACAGCAGCACCCGATACTCCACACAGCCCCAGCAGCCCCCTGATACACCACACAGCCACAGCAGCCCCCTGATACTCCACACAGCCACAGCAGCCCCCTGATACTCCACACAGCCACAGCAGCCCCCTGATACTCCACACACAGCCACAGCAGCCCCTGATACTCCACACAGCCACAGCAGCCCCCTGATACTCCACACAGTCACAGCAGCCCCCTGATACTCCACACACAGCCACAGCAACCCCTGATACTCCACACACAGCCACAGCAGACCCTGATACTCCACACAGCCACAGCAGACCCTGATACTCCACACAGCCACAGCAGCCCCTGATACTCCACACAACCACAACAGCCCCTGATGCTCCACACAGCCACAGCAGCCCCCAATACTCCACAGCAGCCCCTTATACTCCACACAGCCACAGCAGACCCTGATACTCCACACAGCCACAGCAGACCCTGATACTCCACACAGCCACAGCAGCCCCCTGATACTCCACACAGCCACAGCAGACCCTGATACTCCACACAGCCACAGCAGACCCTGATACTCCACACAGCCACAGCAACCCCTGATGCTCCACACAGCCACAGCAGCCCCCAATACTCCACAGCAGACCCTGATACTCCACACAGCCACAGCAACCCCTGATGCTCCACACAGCCACAGCAACCCCTGATGCTCCACACAGCCACAGCAGCCCCCAATACTCCACAGCAGACCCTGATACTCCACACAGCCACAGCAACCCCTGATGCTCCACACAGCCACAGCAACCCCCTGATACTCCACACAGCCACAGCAGCCCCTGATACTCCACACAGCCACAGCAACCCCCTGATACTTCACACAGCCACAGCAGCACCCTGATACTCCACACAGCCACAGCAGACCCTGATACTCCACACAGCCACAGCAGCACCCTGATACTCCACACAGCCACAGCAACCCCCTGATACTCCACACAGCCACAGCAGCCCCTGATACTCCACACAGCCACAGCAACCCCCTGATACTACACACAGCCACAGCAACCCCTGATACTCCACACAGCCACAGCAGCCCCCAATACTCCACAGCAGACCCTGATACTCCACACAGCCACAGCAACCCCTGATGCTCCACACAGCCACAGCAGCCCCCAATACTCCACAGCAACCCCTGATGCTCCACACAGCCACAGCAGCCCCCAATACTCCACAGCAGACCCTGATACTCCACACAGCCACAGCAACCCCTGATGCTCCACACAGCCACAGCAACCCCTGATGCTCCACATAGCCACAACAGCCCCTGATACTCCACACAGCCCCTGCAGCCCCTGATACTTCACACAGCCACAGCAACCCCCTGATACTCCACACAGCCACAGCAGCCCCAGATACTCCACACAGCCACAGCAACCCCCTGATACTCCACACAGCCACAGCAGCCCCTGATACTCCACACAGCCACAGCAGCACCCGATACTCCACACAGCCACAGCAGCCCCTGATACTCCACACAGCCACAGCAACCCCCTGATACTCCACACAGCCACAGCAGCCCCCTGATACTTCACACAGCCACAGCAACCCCTGATACTTCACACAGCCACAGCATTCCCCTGATACTCCACACAGCAGCCCCTGATACTCCACACAGCAGCCCCTGATACTCCCTACCCCTCATCAGCGAAGACTTCTCTCCTCTCACGACTGCAACTGTGAATTTTAGAGCCCATAATGTGCTTTATTGCTAGTGAAACCCTCGAGTGTTGCTGGTGCGTGCGTGTGTGTAGCTGACTCTCACGCTCCCCTGATTCATCCCTCCAGATGTTCCACCATAAAAAGTAATCTCTCTGCCTTTATCCACAATAAAAGCTGGTTTTGAATATGCTTTGTATATGTTGATGATAAAGACGCAACGCTTGGCAGTCACTTGTGGCGAGTCGCTGGCTGAGTCTCCTTCAGGAACCTCTCAGCATAGCTTTTACATTGAGCATTATCGTCTTTTTCGTCAAGTGATTCCGCTAAGTGCCCGAGCATGGTGTGAGGGCGAGTGAAGACCATTGAGACATTTTACTACAGTTGGGCTGCCAGTGTTGCTTCTCACTCCTCAGTCGCCGCCTCCAACACTGGCCGCCTTCACACTGGCCGACTCCACACTGGCCGCCTCCACACCGGCCGCCTCCACACTGGCCGACTCCACTCTGGCCGCCTCCTCACTGGCCGCCTCCACACTGGCCGCCTCCACACTGGCCGCCTCCACACTGGCCGCCTCCACACTTGCCGCCTCTACACTGGCTGCGTCCTCGCTGGCTGCCTTCACACGGGCCGCCTCCACACTGGCTGCCTCCACACTGGCCGCCTCCACACTGGCCGCCTCCACACTGGCCGCCTCCACACGGGCCGCCTCCACACTGGCCGCCTCCACACTGGCCGCCTCCACACTGGCTGCCTCCACACTGGCCGCCTCCACACTGGCCGCCTCCACACTGGCCGCCTCCACACTGGCCGCTTCCACACTGGCCGCCTCCACACTGGCCGCCTCCACACTTGCCGCCTCCACACTGGCCGCCTCCACACTGGCCGCCTCCACACTGTCCGCCTCCTCACTGGCCGCCTCCACACTGGCCACCTCCACACTGGCCGCCTCCACACCGGCCGCCTCCACACTGGCCGCCTCCACACTGGCCGCCTCCACACTGGCTGCCTCCACACTGGCCGCCTCCACACTGGCCGCCTCCTCACTGGCCGCCTCCACACTTGCCGCCTCCACACTGGCCGCCTCCACACTGGCCTCTTCCACACTGGCTGCCTCCACACTGGCCGCCTCCACACTGGCCGCCTCCACACTGGCTGCCTCCACACTGGCCGCCTCCACACTGGCCGCCTCCACACTGGCCGCCTCCACACTGGCCGCTTCCACACTGGCCGCCTCCACACTGGCCGCCTCCACACTGGCCGCCTCCACACTGGCCGCCTCCACACTGTCCGCCTCCTCACTGGCCGCCTCCACACTGGCCACCTCCACACTGGCAGCCTCCACACCGGCCGCCTCCACACTGGCCGCCTCCACACTGGCCACCTCCACACTGGCTGCCTCCACACTGGCCGCCTCCACACTGGCCGCCTCCTCACTGGCCGCCTCCACACTTGCCGCCTCCACACTGGCCGCCTCCACACTGGCCACTTCCACACTGGCTGCCTCCACACTGGCCGCCTCCACACTGGCCGCCTCCTCACTGGCCGCCTCCACACTGGCCGCCTCCACACCGACCGCCTCCATACTGGCCGCCTCCACACTTGCCGCCTCCACACTGGCCGCCTCCACACTGGCCGCCTCCACACTGGCCGCCTCCACACTGGCCGCCTCCACACCGGCCGCCTCCACACTGGCCGCTTCCACACCGGCCGCCTCCACACTGGCCGCCTCCACACTGGCCGCCTCCACACTGGCCGCCTCCACACTGGCCGCCTCCACACTGGCCGCCTCCACACTGGCCGCCTCCACACTGGCCGCTTCCACACCGGCCGCCTCCACACCGGCCGCCTCCACACTGGCCGCCTCCACACTGGCCGCCTCCATACTGGCCGCCTCCACACTGGCCGCCTCCACACTGGCCGCCTCCAGCCGCCTCCACACTGGCCGCCTCCACACTGGCCGCCTCCACACTGGCCGCCTCCAGCCGCCTCCACACTGGCCGCCTCCACACTGGCCGCCTCCACACCGGCCGCCTCCACACTACCCGGGCTTCCTTCCTCAGTCCACCCATACTGCATTTTTATGGACTACAAACATCTTGTCATATGAGGCCAGCTTGCCTCACCAACGAACACATTCATAGGCACGCTTCCCTGCCTCCCACAGCACCAGTGTGGCCATGGAACTATTGTGACAACTGCGCCTCATGAGGCAAGGCGGGTGGCACACCTCTGTCACAACCTCAGCTCCAGCACCTCACCCTCACGTTGTGTCGACGAGGAAGTAATATAGTGGACGCGCGAGCCGCCTCACCCTTCCCACCCTCCCTACCTTCCTGCCTCAATCATCCCTTCCCCCTTTCCCTCTTTCTCTCTCATATATTGCCTTATTTTACTCTTTCCCTTTTCCACTACATTTAACACATCTCATCGGGGGGGTGTGGTTGGGGGTTAACTAGGTTATCCAGAACCAACCAGATATTACCTTATCATCAAGAAGAGACCCCGACCACTCCCCGACAGAATAATAACCGACCTCGGCAGCCACACTTCTGCTACTGTCGTTCGACCAGCAATGAACACTGGAGTGCTTGTAATTATTTGGGAGATCACCCTGGTAAGCGTCTGGTTCTGGGGGAGGGGTTCAGCGTCACCTTTACTCAGGGGTTCAGCTCACACTGTCTAGTTGTAATGTGTACACACTCGCTCTTAATAAGCTGCCGTGACTCCCCGCACTTTGGGATGATCTCTCAATTCCTCATAGTTATAGTCCACTATCATCCAAATTATAGCCGTCTCTCTCTCTCTCTCTCTCTCTCTCTCTCTCTCTCTCTCTCTCTCTCTCTCTCTCTCTCTCTCTCTCTCTCTCTCTCTCTCTCTCTCTCTCTCTCTCTCTCTCTCTCTCTCTCTCTCTCTCTCTCTCTCTCTCTCTCTCTCTCTCTCTCTCTCTCTCTCTCTCTCTCTCTCTCTCTCTCTCTCTCTCTCTCTCTCTCTCTCTCTCCCCCTGAACTCAAGAACTCAACAAGAGATTCCAGGAGGTCTTCACAATAGAACAAGGAGAGGTCCCTGCACTAAATAAGGAGGAAAACCGAACAACCTTGGAGGAAATTTACCTCACCAGTGATGAGGTCAAAAGGAATCTGTTGGAGCTGAATGTGTCAAAGGGTGTTGTGCCTGAGAGTATCTCACCGTGGATTCCAAAGGAAAGTGCAGAAGCACTAAGTGTGCCACTCTCTATGGTGTATAACAGGTCACTGGAAACGGGAGACCTTCTGGAAAGCTGGAAGACAGCTAATATAGTCCCAATTTTCAAAAAGGGTAACAGGCAAGAGGCACTGAACTACAAGCCATACACCACCAGCATGGGTTAAGAGATGGTAAATCGTGCCTCACAGGCCTAATAGAATTCTATGACCAAGCAACACAAATTAGGCAGGAAACAGAAGGGTGGGCAGACTGCATTTTCTTGGACTGTCAGAAAGCCTTTGACACAGTACCTCACAAAAGGCTGTTACAAAAGTTGGAGCAGCAGGCAGGATGTTACGGACCCGAGTCCAACGTCGGAGCACGGAGCAGTGACGACAACGCCATCTGTGAGTCCGCTCCTGAAACCCACTCCAAATGGACGACGCCATCTAGTGGTGGATAGGCCAGCAATAAGTGTTGGATTCCTGTCCTAGTCAGCTCATGACGTAGCCGCTGCTGACCTCTGGTGAGGTAGTGCTTAGACAGTGAACGCCATCTATGGAGTGAAGAGGTGGACGTTTCTGTCTAAGCTTGTGAGTGAAGCATCCCAGTATTAATGACGTGTCTGATTGCAGAGTCGACCTGGGACTGCTGTGTTGGACGATGGACCAGTCTACCCAAGGCAGCCAAGGTCTCTTCACGAGTCTGCTTTGAAGAAGCTGTGAGCCACCCCCGGACGAACTCTGTTGAGAGTGTAATAGCCTGCCTGAAGCGTGGCAGTGTCAGGAATCGCCTTATCCGGGGCTGGCTGGTGGAAGAGACTAGCCACTGTGGTGCTTAATGAAGAGAGTAATCAGCGGGTCACACGAGGCTCCTGCCTAGGGCTCGCAACCCTAGTATTAGTTGTCGAGTGGCCTGACAGCGAGGCTGACCGGTACCTGCCAGCTACAGGCTGGATTGTGGTTGAAGGCCATCACGACGGGGCACCCAGTGGGACTGTGATTTGGCTGGCCTGTGGCCAGGGTAGAGTTATTGTGGATTCATCATGAGCCACGGAAGCGGAGACCAGGGCTACCTAGAAGAAGCATCGCCGAGTGTTTAGCGTCTTCAGAGAGGGAGACCTCATTGTACATTGTGTAGTAATAATTTCCTTTTATGACTTTAAATTACGGTGGTGGGAATATATATATATAAATTAGAATACTTGTCTTCAATGTACCTTCCTTGATAGCTTTAACTTGTATTATGGAACACACCCTTTGAAAGCCTCTACTAACTTGGGGCCGGATACCCAAAACTCTATTACCATCAGAGAAGAACCTGGTTGCGTCCCGGTAGGGCCGTAACACAGGAGTAAAAGGTAAGGTGCTCCAGTGGATAAGGGAGTATCTAAGCAATAGGAAACAGCGAGTAACGGTGAGGGAGGAAGCATCAGAGTGGCGAGATGTCACCAGCGGGGTTACAAAGGGCTCTGTGCTCGGACCCATCCTGTTTCTAGTATATGTAAACGACCTTCCAGAGGGTATAGACTCATTCCTCTCAATGTTTGCTGACGATGCAATAATTATGAGAAGAATCAAAACAGATGAAGATAAACAGAGACTACAGGACGACCTGGACAAACTGGAGGAATGGTCTAGAAAATGTCTGCACGGTTCAACTCAGGAAAGTGTAAAGTAATGAAATTAGGCGAAGGGAGCAGAAGGCTGAACACAAGGTTCCATCTGGGAGGAGAAATCCTACAGGAGTCAAACAGAGAGAAAGATCTGGGGGTCGATATCACACCGAACCTGTCCCCAGAGGCCCACATCAAAAGGATATCATCAGCGGCATATGCTAGACTGGCCAATATAAGAACTGCCTTTAGAAATTTGTGTAAGGAATCGTTCAGGAACCTGTATACCACTTATGTAAGACTAATCCTGGAGTATGCAGCTCCAGCTTGGAGTCCATACCTAGTTAAACAAAAGACGAAGTTAGAGAAGATTCAGAGGTATGCCACCAGACTGGTCCCGGAACTGAGAGGAATGAGTTACGAGGAAAGGCTAAGGGAGCTGAACCTCACATCCCTGGAAAACAGAAGAGTAAGGGGAGACATGATAACCACCTACAAAATTCTCAGGGGAATTGACAGAGTGGACAAAGACGAACTCTTCAGCACGGGTGGGACACGAACAAGGGGACACAGGTGGAAACTTAGTACCCAGATGAGCCACAGAGACGTTAGAAAGAATGTAATTACTGTCTGCAGCTTCAACATTAAACCTGTAGAAGAGCAGCCGACACACGAGGAACAGCTTAAGCGTTCATGAGAACATTCTCAGCATCCTTTACCACGAGTCTCTATAGGAACACCCACCACGAGTCTCTATAGGAACACCCACCACGAGTCTCTATAGGAACACCCACCACGAGTCTCTATAGGAACACCCACCACGAGTCTCTATAGGAACACCCACCACGAGTCTCTATAGGAACACCCACCACGAGTCTCTATAGGAACACCCACCACGAGTCTCTATAGGAACACCCACCACGAGTCTCTATAGGAACACCCACCACGAGTCTCTATAGGAGCACCCACCACGAGTCTCTATAGGAACACCCACCACGAGTCTCTATAGGAACACCCACCACGAGTTTCTATAGGAACACCCACCACGAGTCTCTATAGGAACACCCACCACGAGTCTCTATAGGAACACCCACCACGAGTCTCTATAGGAACACCCACCACGAGTCTCTATAGGAACACCAACCACGAGTCTCTATAGGAACACCCACCACGAGTCTCTATAGGAACACCCACCACGAGTCTCTATAGGAACACCCACCACGAGTCTCTATAGGAACACCAACCACGAGTCTCTATAGGAACACCCACCACGAGTCTCTATAGGAACACCCACCACGAGTCTCTATAGGAACACCAACCACGAGTCTCTATAGGAACACCCACCACGAGTCTCTATAGGAACACCCACCACGAGTCTCTATAGGAACACCCACCACGAGTCTCTATAGGAACACCCACCACGAGTCTCTATAGGAACACCCACCACGAGTCTCTATAGGAACACCAACCACGAGTCTCTATAGGAACACCCACCACGAGTCTCTATAGGAACACCCACCACGAGTCTCTATAGGAACACCAACCACGAGTCTCTATAGGAACACCCACCACGAGTCTCTATAGGAACATCAACTCCCTCTCTTTCTTGCCTGATTTTTGTTTCCTGGTCGTAGAATTCAGTTAGCCCTGTGAGGCAGGACCTGCCATCCCTGAACCCATGTTGATGCTGTGTTACAAAGTTCATTCGCTCAAGATGTTCCACTAGGTTTTTTCGCACAATCTTCTCCATCAGCTGGCATGGTATGCAGGTTAGAGACACTGACCTGTAGTTCAGTGCCTCCTGTCTATCTCCCTTCTATGCATTCCATTTGTCAACCACTCTGACACTAAAAAAGTTCTTTCTAATATCTGTGGCTCATTTGGGCACTCAGTTTTCACCTGTGTCCCCTAGTGTGTGTGCCCTTTGTGTTAAATACCCTGTCTTTATCTACCCTATCAATTCCCTTGAGAATCTTGAATGTGGTGATGATGTCCCCCCTAACTCTTCCAGCAAATGAGGATTAATTCCCGTAGCCTCTCCTCGCAGCTCATACCTCTCAGCTCGGGTACTAGTCTGGTGGCAA